ATACATATATACATATATATATTTTTTTTTAACTGTATATACAGTGTATATAACATATATATATATATATATTGTATAAACTGTATATACAGTATATATTTATATAGTATATGCCTTACCTTCTTTGTTCTTTATGTCATAGTTTCTTTACTGTCATTCTCATCATATGTGATACATGTGGTGGAACAGAATGGTGTACACAGGGCCCCAGTTATATCCAACTAAAGTATAAATTGTAAAGAAAAACATTGTTAAGATCTAAGATATGAACTAAGAAATATGCTAAACTAAGAATACTCTAAGCACTAATAATATAAAAACAATACGCTGAACAACAGCAGCAGGAACCTGAGTCTTTGTGAGCAGATGAGGACACATGAACACAGCAATATGAATTAAATCAGCAGCATGAGATCAGCAGCATGGATAGACAGCAGCATATATCAACAATCAAGTGGCATTACAGTGATTTTTGTCATAGTGATAATTGGAGTTCCTAGAAAAAAATACTAATTAAAACAAAAAACTAGGAAACAGCTCAGGCCTTAACTAGTGATTTTGTTTGTATTGGAAACTCAAAGTGTTTATTTGTTTGTATCTCAAACCTCATCAACAGGGATATTTTTTTTTTTTATTAGTGCCCATAAAGCCACTGCTTGTCCCACTGAACAACGTGATCCAGCTTCATTTGATTTTAATAGTTTGCAGCAGGAAACAAGAACTGCAGGTGAGCTGCCACTTAAATCTACACAGAGCAACAAAAGCTTGGCCATTATCAGTTCCCTTTATGTGTGTCCATTACTCATAAACGAAGAGCAGACGATTAGTGTCACTAAAGTGCCTTCTTGTAAAAGAGATGTAGATGTCGCTCTGTTTGTCATCAACAGAGCGACATTATGATCGTGTTAGTTGCATGTTTAGTTTCTGGATTGGTTTCTGCATCACATCTGCTTCATGGGTGGAGTTCTCAGCGTGGTGGGGCCTCCATTTTGACTGGATGCGTGGGAAGCTGTGTCTGTGTGTGAATGTGTGAACAGTGGCAGTGATGCCTGACAGACACAGGCAGCTTTTGTGCTACCTAGTGAGTGACAAACGGCACTTCGTGTTACCTGGACGAGCACGAGCTGCCCGCTGCTTTTAGAAAAGCTCATTACACGATCACAGTGTGGCTTTCACTCACATTAGTTTGATAATTCATGAAAGACTGTGTGAGCAGTTATGAAAGCAAATATTACCCAGAGATTTAAAGTGTTCTGTGACCAAACTCTATTGCACAGCATTGTGCAAAAGATTTAATCTATCTATCATTGCTTTTTATTTAATTTCTAATGGAACAGAAGGACATGCCAGTGTGGGAAGAGGTTTTACACAAGGTTACGTGCTCGCTTTCTTTGGAAATTGATCTTTTTGTACTCAGTTTATGTGCAGTTATTGTGCCTGACTTTTGTCAATGAAATTAATTTTTCAGGTGTATGAATTCTTTCTTACTTTTAAACTTTTGCCAGGCACTTTAATACGGACTTGTCTGTCACAGCAACTGAAAAAGGGTCATGGATGCAAGTTGTGTTGACACATGACTAAAGGTTTTGCAATGAATATGTATATATTGTTTTAAATATATATATATATATATAGTTTTATTCTGTTAAATATACAATAACTCCCAAAATTTACACAATTAACTGTGTGTAAAAATGTTGTCTTTGTTTGTTTTTGCCCAAAGTGGGTTCTCTTAACAATCTCTATTATGACATTTTGTTCTCCAGCAAAGAGAAAAACAGAGAGATGATACAATCTCACCTAGTTTAGAACTGAGCTGCTGTAGATTTATTTGTTTTTCATATTTGGCACCTTGTTTTTGTATTTTTGTTGCATGCTTCGAATAAATCCTGGTTTATGTTAGTTTAGTTTATGTTAGTGCTCGTATTAAGTGTGTAAATTGTAGCCAAACTGAACCTACGAGAATCGTGCCGCTGTTGTTCAGTGTATTGCTTTGCATTAATACTGATTGGTGTATATCCTAGATCTTTTAGCGTACCGTTTGCCATTGGTCTAGCATATATCTCGTTTTCTATCTTAGATCATTATTTAATTTTTCTTTTACACTTTATGTTTTTGCTATTGTTTAATGTAACTGGTACCCCGTGTACACAATTTCATTCCACCTCCTGTACTACGAGATGTGAATTACAATAAAGAACCTTGAATCCTTGAATAACAGATTCTGCTAAAATAATAATAATAATAATAATAATAATAATAATACATGTTTAGAGCAGCTGCTTTTCTTCTTCTTCTGTGTTGTTGTCCATTGTCTTGGATATTGAAAGAACAAACTTCATGTAATGTGTCCAGGTACAGGGCTTGAACTGAAATGTTAAAATAAAACAGCCACTCTTCAGAAAAAAGATTCTGAAAGAATTTCAGAAAGCTCTGAAGAGAGTTCTGTAAAGGTACCTTGATAAAATGCATTAAAGCCCAGCTCTTCAGAAGCTAAATATACATTATATAAAACAAAGTATGACTCAATACTTTAGCACAACATGTAGTCTTTGTGTTTTCTTGTTTGAAGAGAGACGACTAAACGTGTTCAGGTTTCTGCTGAACTCAGAGTTTTGATTATTTCTTGTTTTGTCCTCAGATGAGTTCGTTCAGTACGAGGGCTCTGACGCTGCTCTCGTCAGTTTTCGGAGCGTGCGGTTTGTTGCTGGTGGGTGTCGCGGTGTCAACGGATTACTGGCTGCTGATGGAGGAAGGAATCGTCCTGCAGCAGAACCAGACCACGGAGGTCAAGATGGCGCTGCATTCTGGCCTCTGGAGAGTCTGTTTTGTAGCAGGTTTGTAACAAAATGTATTTATTTCCAGTACGGGTTGGGCCATTTTTTGTTGAGCAAATTAAAGAAACACCACATCAAGTGTACAAACAGTGTACACTTTTTGGGTGACATCTCTCCTCTAAATATCCTTTCTTTTCCACTAAACCTGAGCTTTTCCACCAACGACAGGATAAAAGTTAGACTGGACCGAGCATCCCTATTTTAATTCAACGAATATCAACGCCTTTGTTTCATATCAGTGATTAATTAAATTTTAAAAGGTTTAGAAAATTTGTTGACCATTTGGTCAAACTAAAGTGTTTTCACTGGAGCCTGACCGATGTGGAAATTTTGGCTATCGCCGATACCGATACTGGACGAGGCAGACGATTGTCAATAACCGATACAATGGATGAAAACTTGTACACACCCAAGAATCTAAGTAAACAGATATTTTTAAACGTGTTGAAACAGTCTTCCTAATGTGCGTTCACATTTTCTATCCTCCACTATTTACCATAAAGTTATCAAGTGTGTTATCAAAAAAATAAATTAAATAAAGAAATGCCTTCCCTGTTCAATGTTTAAACAGTCACTCGTGTATGGTGAAGGTCTAATTAGTAGTGACCGCAACAGAGTTTTATTTTCTTTGTATAGAAAAAAAAATTTCAGACAAACAATGCATTTCATTGAGGACATTAAAGATAATGTTACTAACACTGATATATGTATATTATAGTATATACGTAATTGTGTTGTAGAATTGTGCCACTCAGAGTGGCTGCATGTTGGAGCAACTCTGTTACTTTCATTCTGATTTTGCTTTTGAAAACTTTAATTTCTCTTTTTTCTGGATGTAAATCGCTTTTTTCGGATGACCATTTACTCTGGTATCTAATGTTGAAAGGATTTTTAATGAAACTTTTCAACTTTAGGGCATTTGTTATGATGTGTAACCATGGCAACAAATGTGTTTTTTTTTTTTTTACAACCAGGAGCAGCTGATTAACATCTCAAAAGCTCATATATCTCATCTATAGCCCCAAATACCAAATGAGTTGAAAAAGAGGCACTGTGAATGAATTCCCGTCAACCTGGCAGCATGCTCGACCTGACCACCGAGATCCTGGAGCTGGTGGGAAACTCCGCTCATGACAACGGGAGGACCGGGATCATCCCCCAGCACCTTCAGCTGTCTTTCCGAGGTGACGAGGAGCTCTGCAGACTGTTGGGAGGAGTGACCATCGCTCATGGAGTAACTCTGCCCAACTTTTAGGCAGTCCTGCTGCCCAAGAAGACCGAGAAGACCGCCGGATCTGACAGCAAGCTGGATCTGGGTAGACAAATCGGTATCTGTGGCCACATTCTTCGGATTTGCTTCCCACAGATATCAGCATCTATCAACTCTTGAATGAAACCAGGATGATGAGCTACAACACTTAATTTCCTTTTGGAATTAATAAAATATTTTTGGGGAGTGGTGGTGCAGAAGTTAGAGAAGGTGAGCCTGTGATTGGAAGATCGCTGGTTCAACTCCCAGTACCAACAACATCAAAATGTGGGTGTGATTGGTGAAGCACCCACACATGTCTCCAGCCTCATTTTTCCCATTCTGGACCCTTGAGCAAGGCCCTTCACCCCCAACATTTTCTCCTCCAGGCACCATAGATGCAGCTCTCTGCTCCACGCAGAGGGCTGTAGTAGCTCAGTGGTCTGTGGTTGTGTCAGGAAGGGCACCCAGCTTAAAAATAATTGCCAAGTCTTCATGCGACTCAGTGCACTGTGATGACCCCTGAAGAAAGGAGAAGCCGAAATAAGAAAAATAAGGGATAATAATAATAAAGTATTTTTGAATTGAATTGAACATATTTTACCTCTACGTTAGATTTATTGTTCAGGATAAAGTTTTACAAGTCAATTGCCTGTGCTAGTTTATATAAATCTTAGCTTGCTAACTTGAGAGGCACGTAACTAATCACAAGTGGGTTGGAGGATTTAAGAGAGTTTATTATTGTTGCTTTTTTATTTACAGATAAGTTACATTAAACTTGCCACGCTCTGTTCAGCAGAATATGCTACACAGTATTTAGTTGCTCCCTGCTTCAACTTTGCTGAAAGTGAAACTGAAAGTGAAACTTAAAGTGACGGGTCATGACTTGAAAGTAGTCCGCATCTATCCTCTGCTGGATACATTGCGCAATTACGCCATTGACAATAAGGACACAGCTCCTTCCCAGCATGTTAGGGCCATTTATCACCGAGACCGATGTGTCCCCAAAGTCTATCTGCTTAAAAACGGCCATACCGCTCTATCAGTTGGGCTCTAGTTCTCCCCATGGACTCTCATAGTTGTGCTCTGGTGTCAGACTTGGCAGTGTGGCCATGCTCAAGCTGTGCCCGACCTCTGACACGTAGCTCTGCAGCACATCTGCTCATCACATTAATCCAGTAAAAACAAATGACGCCACGAATACAAGAGACATGACTGCAGGCTGAATGAAACACCTCGCATGACTTTCTCCTCTCACGTTTTGGCTCAAAAGTGGATCAAAAGTCTAAAAAGAATGAAAAACATGTACTTTTACTGTAATTATAAGAATGTCTTTGACAACATTTAATATACGATCAATTACACAAGGAAATTGTGCTGATGCATTTAACCAGAATGACTCATTTTGTGCAAAGAATGCACATTTGTGTTCTTACGAGAAACAACAGGGCAGACACGAAATGTCCTTTGTGGAAAAGCCGTTGTGTTGTTGTTCATAACGGTGTCGCTCCGGGGAGGTGGCCACGTTTGTAATTCCCTGCTGCCTGACGCGTGGAACAGAAGGTCAAAGGATGGAAATGCTGGTGGCATTTTGAACGGCCGGTTGTTTGTTGGAGCGGCGGCAAGAAAAGAAAGAGCCGCGTCACGTTTGTCTGAACATGGATGCATCACTTTGTTGGCATTTTTCTCTCATGTTTGTTATTTGTGTGTTTTGTGTGCGTGCATGTGTGTGTGTCTGGTCTCTCTCTTTTACCACAGTTTGAGGTTAATTGTTGCGTTTGTATTCAGCTCCTCCATCGTTTGCATCAGACTTGTTTGTCTCTCAAACCTCCCCACATCTCTTTCCTCTCACTTCAATTTCCAGCAGCACTTTTTTTTTTTTGATAATCGTTTCATTTGGAGTATTTCAGTGATTTATTCACCTCGATTCTCTCCTGTCCTTTCAAAATCTCTGTCTCACTCTCACAGTCTGCCCTGTTGTTCAGATGTTTAACCTTTGATTCCTGCTTTGTTTGTTTCTTCTCGTTTTATCCCCTTGCTCTAGTATTTATTGTCCAACCTCTCAAAGGCTCACCCAGCCTCCTCGCTCTGGTTTCTCACTCCTGCCTCTGTGTTTGTGTTCACGCTGGCCCGTTTGTCCCCTCAGGGTCGGAGAAGGGCAGATGTGTGGCGTCAGAGTATTTCACTGAGCCGGAGATCGAGATCACGACGGAAAATACAGCCAACATTCTCAGTAAGTTTCGTTTATCTGTTTGTTGGATTGATTTGATTCATGTCTCAGCCATAGGTAAGAGGTGTATTAGAGGTGGTGTTTAAATATCGGTCATCCAGGAAGTGATGATCCTGAGGGGTTTTTTTTTAACGTCTTAATTTCTTGTTTTTAAAGCAAACATTTTCATTCTTCCGTGAATTTATTAACTTTACCCACTTTTTCCTTTCCCGATCACGGGGGTCACTGGTGCCCATATCCAGCCATCACTGTGCAGGAGGTGGGGGACACTTTGGACAGATCTCAAGTCCATCACATGGACACATAGAGACAAACGAGACAAACAACCATTCACTCTCTCACTCGCACCTAGGGACGAGTTACCAGTCAAACTAACATGCATGTTTCTGGTCTGTGGGAGGAAACTGGAGTACCCGGAGAAAACCCATGCATGCACAGAGAGAACATGCAAACTCCACCCAGAAAGATCCGTTAAGAGGAGGGTGAAGTAAATAATTTAAATCAAACCAGAAGAGGGCAGATGTGCAGGTATAAACTTTAGAATTTAAGCTGAAGCCTTTAATCTAATCTGGACTTTTACACCAATTTGCTTCTTCTTGAAACCTCAGCTCAGTTTAAAAGCTGAGAACTTCACATTGTTTAATCTGAACTGACACAAATCACTGAATGAGAAGTGAAATATATTTAAAAAGCAATAACAAAACACTTCAGTTGCCTTAAAAATCTGATTACGTAGCTATAAACTGTAAGTGCACTAATATCTATCTATCTACCTACCTATCTATCTATCTATCTATCTATCTATCTATCTATCTATCTATCTA